CCCGCACTACTCCGTGCAGGGGCATGAGAGGGAGCGTTTATCTTGTATTACAGACAGCCTATTCTGCTGAACACGTTGGTACTGAAGTATCTAATTCAAAGTTCATTAAAGTGCTCTTTGATTACTTCAAGAAAGGAAATTGGAATGAGGTAGGAAAAACCTATGTAACATATCAGGTTATTCTGCAGAGAAAAGGCTTATAGAGTGCTGAAATAGCGGAGTGTTTGTTCCCCTCTGCCTCATTTTCCTTTAGCAGCGTGAGTCCCTTAGCAGTTTCAGTAGGTGCAGTAATGGGCAAAGGTTTACTCTGGGGTTCTGTGCTCTTCTCATCAGGGAGAGGGTTTCCCAGTTATTATGGGAATCCATTTTCATTGAATTACAAGAGACGAAGATTTTCATATCTGCTGTGTAAACGCATGCCACCGTGCATTGGTCTGCCAAACGTAGAGGCAGCCTTTTTGGTCTATCCTATGATGAAGTTTGCCATATAATTCTGGGATTTTTTTTTTAGGGGAAGGGAGAGGAGGAAGAAAGGACTTGATGTAAGTAGATGCAACATCTGCTTGTGTTAGATATGGAAGACATGTTAAAGAAGTTACAAGTTGTAATGAAGACTTATCCTCTCTCTGGATTCCCTTCCTCCCTTCCCTTTCCTTTCCTCAAAGAGAAGAAAATCAATGAAGTTCTTCCGATTGAGGCTGTAGCGAAGATGCTTTTCAATACACTGATTGGAAGAGGATGGTTGTTGTAGGATTCACCTGACAGTGTACAGTAAATCTGAATTAATTACCCTCCATCTGTTTTATAGTTAGTGAAGGTCCAGGCAATATATAGGGCATGAACTGGCTCATTCCAAAATGGACATGTCATAATGGTCAGGGGAATCGTATGGCTGTTAGTACTTCTTTTTTCTACATTTAATTGGATAAAGCATGCCCTCAAAGTCAGATTCACAGCTGACAAAGAAAAGGTTTCCTTTTGAGGACACCATCATCCCAGAGACACTCTTCATATTTAAGGCTGTTTTGATGTTTTCTTCCATAGAGGGGGCAAATCCTGCTGTATCATGGGAGACAGGCAGAGAAGCTCCCTGCAGCAGGGCTCTCCTCGTGCAGGTGGGCAGGGTGTACTCTGTGAGTTGGAGGGTGAGGTTGTGCTTGACAACCTGCCTTATCACAAGCATTTCTAAACTACTCATTCCTCAGGGCTTCCTTCTTTCAGAAGTGCTGTAATGAAACTGCAGGTCTGCTTGAAGCCCTTGAAGCTTGCTTCTCCTAGTAACCAATGGATTCTAAAGTTAAACCTGCCACCTACAAAATTATACAGTGAAAAATTCCTGACTATGCCAGTGGCAGATAACTTTGCTAAAGGGAACAAATGTTAGCCATCAAAAAATACATCAGACCTGCTCCAGGTTAGTGAAGACTCTGAACGGTGACGGTCTCTACCCTTAAACACTCAGTAACACCCTCGTCGTGCTCTCTAGTAGAGCAAAGCCATTAAGTTGTCCCTGTTGTAATTTAGATCACAGAAGAGAATTCCACAGATTCTTTCAGGTTAAAATAGCTGGTATAAAGAGAGTAGGCAAAATTATTCCACTGTAGCTACGTGCTTAATTATATGGAATACTGCATAAAATTGTCAAGTGCAAAGAATTATTCTGATAAATTAAAATACTAATTAAATAGGCTATTGCAGAGTTTTGAGAACATTATAGGGCTCTGCTTCTCCAGGTAATTTGCATATCCTTCATCTAGTGAATTTAATTTAAAGGCCTTCTTTTTTGTGTGTTTGGAAACCCTTTTTGTTTCAGTGGGAGATTTAAAAAAAGAGACTTATATGTTGCTGGGTTTTTTTGTTCTTTTTTTGAATAACTATTTTTATTATGCTTCTTTGCTGCCAAGTTTACCAGTTCTCCATTAGTATTTCAGGACTTTAAGCCATGGCTCTAATAATCCCCTTCGCAGGAATGTGCTTTATACCATGTTACCTAGAATTTTCTTTTCCTGTTCATAAAATTTGCAACAAAAATATTATCTGCTATATATTTGCATTGGAATAAAAGCTAGCAGGTAGCAAATTTAAATACTTCAAAAAATTTAGGGCCAGTTTTCAGAGCATGAGTAGTAGGATTGCTTCTAAATATCTAAATTTACTTTACCGCCACTTCTTTCTCATCTATCTGTAGTCTATAGCTGCTTGTGGAATAAGGTCAGCTAAAATATGCTCCTGTAAATGCCTGGAGTGAACAACCCAAAGATGGGCTGCTGTGGGGGGCTCTCTCCGGATCCTGACAGTGACCAAGCTTGACCATTTTCAGGTCATGATTTAATCAATATCAGTATCATATCCGTGCCTCCTAATTTTGTCAGGGTTTTATGTGAGGATGGCTATAAGAGCTGTGCTTTGTGTTTTGCTCAGTGTCAGGGAGCAAGGGGGTGATGTGGCTAAGTATACCTTAAAACCAAAGGTTCAGTAATTAAGGTCTGCAGGAAACCTATAGGAAGGAGGTCAGTCAAATAGGTAATATAATTACACAGTTCAGCAATACAGCAGACCCAATTTTTCCTGCTAACTCTTCATATAGTAAAAAATTATATGCTGGGATTTAAGCTTGTTTGTTTTCTTATACTCCTTTTATTTTGTAGCCACTGGGTTGTGCAGTTTTATTTATTCCCCAGCTACCAGAGAATCATTTGTTGAACAGTTTAGTTTCTCTGAAGGAAGTGGTGGAGCTTTCTGTTTTTTATAACTCTCGTGAATTTTTGCATTTGGCAGAAATCTGCCTTTAATATGTATGCTGAATATGAGGCTGTCAGTGTGGTAGCATGGCACATCTTTGAGATGAAATGGCACATTTAAAAAGAAGATTGTCAGTAACACGGCATGGCAGGTGCTGAACATGAGTGTTGGTGAAGGAACATAGTCCAGAGGATAGAGCTAAAGACTGAAAAACTTACTTGCAAAGATTTGCTTATTTTTTTTGAATTCATGCTGGACAATATATGCAATGCAACAGAAATATAGCCTAAAATGCAACTTTGATCCATGTAGTCTAGGCAACTTTCCTTCTCACGCAGTCCTTTCCCTTCCCTGTCATTGTGCATGATAGCCTTGCTGACCTGGGTATCCACTGGAGCAGAACTGGCAAGGAACTGTATACCAAGATACATATGTAAATGCCTGGTAGTGATCTGCACCTATAAATATGTGCAGATGCTCAGTCTGAAAACTAGGCTCAGAAAGTCTAGACTCCTAATGGTGAGTCAAGCACTAATCCTCTGACCACCTCTGGGGTGCTCTCAAATTTTTTCTGCCTCTGTTTCAGTATAAAATGGAGATAATTGTATTCACAAAACTGTCTTCCCTGTGACTCAGTATGGAATAAATAGAACTGTAAATGTGTAAAGCACTGTATAAATATTAAGTTGTATGTTTTAAAATTTTGGTATGTGTTTTTAGGCTGTCATCCAGCAAAAAGTGCTTAAGCTTTCTTACCTTGGGACTCCGTGTTCCCATCAGCTTGATAGGTAGCGTATTGAAAAGAAGAAAAACAAAGCTATGTGAGTCTAAAGGATGGACAGAGCTTTCCTATCCATTTAAATTATGGGCAAAATTCATTTCTCATGAAGTTAGTCAGAAAAGTTTCTCTATATTAGAATTACATGAATTTTAACTTCTTCAGCCTTTGCCCGCACTAAAGTCAGTAGACATTTTGGATATATGATGTGAGAGTGAGCCTTAATGACAAAACTCACCTGTGAAATAAACGTGAGTCATTTGTCTTACACTTTGGACAAGCTAAATAAAGTATCATCTCCCATTAATATTGCTTCTAAGAATTGTCTGCTGCTCTGTGAACAGTTTTGAATATATGTTAAATAGCAACAATTGCAATGTATTTTTCTAAAAGGAAAGAATAATGTGTGAACCTTCATTATTTTTCTGTAAGTTTAATGTGTGAACCTTCATTATTTTTCTGTAAGTTTAACTGTGTACGTTATGTTCTAGCATACTTCCCAGAATGTTTCCTTTAGCCAGCTAAAATTGAGAAGCTGAGTCTACCCCAGTTGTCCTTGTAATCAAGGGAAAG